CCCCCCTTTCCCCCTTTCCCATTTCCACATCCCGTCCGAGATACCTTTTCACATGCGCCCTTTTCTCCGACCGACGCGTCGGTGTGGTAAATAACTTTTCCGAGTACCTTGTGTATGGGGTTTTCAATCAACGCTTTTTGGTTTCTTTTTTTTTCTTCCTTTGTTTTCTTTTTTCAAATAGAAAATGTTTACTTCCCCTCGATTCTTCTCGCAGAGCACGCCCACCTTTTCCGCGCGGTGGGCAAAGATAGAAAGTCTCGCGCGCACCACACACACACACACACACTCACATGCAAATACTACTTTCTCCTCCGCTCTCCCCATCTGCATATCAAAGGAAAATATTTATCAAGTATTCGTACTTCGGACCTTTCTCGGCGTTCCTCTCTTATTCCATCTCTGTCAGCTCTCTCCCCCCCCCCCTGCTCCCCTTCCTCATTCTCTCTCCTCTCTCTCCCTCCCTTTCATTCAGAGTGCCCTTCTTGTTCTCTGCTCATCTGTCCCACTCCTCTCTCTCTCATCCTTATCCTCTGCACTCTAAATCTTTTACAAAGAATTTGTTCGTATAGTGCAAAGAATTCTGTGCAACCGTAATATACAAGAAATTTCCTTGTATTACAAGAAATTTCCTTGTATTACACAAAAGTTTTCTTTGTATTACTATGATTTTTCTTTGTACTACAAAGAAAATTTGTCTTTGTATTACGGTTGCACAAAATTCTTTGTAATACAAGAATTTTCTTTGTAAGAATTTAAGAGTGTGTATTATTCGGCTTCCTATTGAATCACGTTGGAACTACACTGCTCTGTCATTTTTCTTTTCATTGGAAACAGAAATTTGCTCTTGGACGTGAAGGCAGGGAAAGAAGGAAAATAACCAATGTTTTGTTATTGAGGCTTTCTAGTTAATGTGTATGTGCATTATATGCATGCAGTTGATGTGCCCTCTGTGTGTTTAACTAACCCGACCGTTTCTCTAAGTAGTTATAAGGATTCAGTAAAACCTGGAATTCCAGAATGGATCCTATAAAACCGGATTTCTAGAATAGATTTTTTGAACCTTTAAACTAAAAATTCCGGGCTTGATTTCTTGAACCCTGAATTACAAAGTGGAGTTGTTGAACCGTGGAATTCCAGAATGTATTCTGTGAAGCTTGAATTGCTTGCTTTGCTTGTTGTCTAACGCGCCTCGCCCCCCCACCTGTTGCAGGAGTCGTCATGTGTTAGCCGTCCGACACGCCCTAGCGGAGCCAGCCGGGCCACGCGCGCCAGTGCAGCCCTACTGTGAGGAAGGGTGAGTAAAGTATACACTGTGCGCAAAAAAATTACTTTTGCGTTGTCGGTCCGTCCCGGAGATCTGACCGCGCAAAATGTATTGGCGGCCAGCTCCGGGCGCTTCGCCCGCACATGCACCACACCGCTAGCATATAATGTTTGTGGTAAAAGTAGTAACAGCTTGTCACGATTGCTCACGAAAAATATGTACATAAAAGTCGTAGATATTCAATTGACTTGAATTTCCTTGTAAATATTTTATGTTCTGGTTTAAAATTCTTTTTTATAAAACTTTCGATACGCTTCAATGAGCTATTGCGCCAGAGTATGGGTGTGTGCTTTTTTTTCTCGCTTTTAAAATCATTTCAACTAGTTGTTATTTGTGTGTGTGTCGTAAAACTGCACGTTGTTGCTGTCGTTCTGATACACGGCCAGTCTCTCTCCCCGTCCGTTTTGTCGGCGACGGTGGTGTGCCAGTGTCTCTTATGTGTGTGACTTTGCCTTGTGGCGCGCGGCGAGGT